GGCAGCCTGGTGGGGGGGGGAGGGGGCCTGGTGGGGGGGGAGGGGGCCTGGTGGGGGAGGAGGGGGCCTGGTGGGAGGGAGGGAGGTGGCTTGATGGGGGGAAGCAGCCTGGTTGGGGGGGAGGCAGCCTCTGTGGGGGAGGCAGCCAGGGGCCTCGGATCTGACCCTGGCTTTGGTGCTACCCATGGCTCCCGTGTCACTTTCCTGGGGATCGCTGCCTCCAGGTGGCGCAGGGCCAAGCAGTTCGCCACACAGGAAGCGTCCACGTGGGTGTGGATGGCACTGCCCTGACATGCAGTCGGGCATCCGGGTTCTGGAGGGCGAGGGCCGGCTTTGAACCCCTCACATGCAACTCTCCAGTGTTTTGCGTTCGGTCTGTGGAGTTAGAGCTGACTTACATCCAGATTCAGGACCAGCGCCGTGTTGTGAAGGCGTTTGTAGACCACCCAGCATTTGGCTGAAGCTAGGTTTTATAGGGGAAAACGTAGGGCGATCTCAAGTTTTTTAAACAGAAAACTAGCCCCCCACCCCGCCAGCGGCTGATTTGCCGTCTGTTCTGTCTGCAGACACTTGGTGCGGCGGGAGGGTGAGACTACAGCTGTCTTCCCGTTGCGCCTTTCAAAGTGTTTCAAGCCTTCTTTTCCTGCCGCCCCACAAAATGATGCCAGACCAGACCAAATTCTTCTCACCCACGTGGCCGTGTGATAGTTAAAACACAGGCTTTACACAGCAGTGAGGGAAGTCTGCCTTTTATTTTAACTTAGAAAAATAATCAGGAGCAAAACGGACATTACTAACACAATCCTGCCATAAAACGGTAGCCACCTGGTTATAAATTCTGAGTCACTCGAGGAAGTTCATGGACAGTTCCGCAAAGTCTTCCCGGGCGTTCTGCTCTACCAAAGTAAATATGACCGAGGCCCCCACCCTCAGCAGACACTGAATAAATTAATCCTAGACCGAGGTGCGGAGCTGTCCCCCGGAACACGGGGACAGTGAGGCCCAGCGGTGGGCGCGGAGGGAGCGTGGCGTATGACGTGCGGATACGAGGCAGAGTAAACATAGCTGTGGGTCGTACGTGTATATATGAGACCCTACGGATGGTCTGCACGGACGGTCCTGTGGCCTCCGCGTTGTGCGGTTATAGTGGATAAAGTCCTGGGCAGGCGGCCCCCCCGCGGCCCTCAGCACGGCGACTCCACATACTCGTTGTCCAGCCCTCGGCGGAACCGCGCCGTCAGGGAGCGGCTGATGACGATCACCCGGGGCGCGATGCAATCCTCTCTCCTGTGAAGAATGTTCCAGATGAGCATGGCGGCCGCCAGGGTGGCCAGGAGGCAGGCGCCGATGTTCAGGTAGCAAGACCAGGACAGGCTGGTGTACGGGCCGATTCTGTAGAATGTCACCAGCCCGATGACCAGGACGAAACCTGCAAACGAGAGAGGAGAGTTCAGAAAACCCTGCATGGACCCGGGGTTGGGGGGGACCGGCCACTTGGGCTGTAGAGCCCCAAGGTCACACAGCCTGAGGTCACGCAGCCTCTAGGTCACACAGCCACCACTGACCCCCGCGGGCTGTCGCCCCTTCACGTGCCGCGCTTCAGTGTGGAGCCGCTTTTCAACAGGCCTCTGAGCCCTTCTGACCTTTTGGGGGCTGTGTACTTAATCCTGGCACGGAGTGACTTCTGGGGGCCCCAGGAGAAAGCGGTGCGGTCCTGACGCGCTCTCCCTTTGGTCCAGCAGGGCCGCGCCGTTTCCTCCACGTGAGCGGCGCCCCGCTTCTAGAAGTGCTTGATTCCTTCCAGTGGACGTACACGCAGGCATTCGCTAAATCTCATCTAGAAACAGGACTCTGTCCTGTTCTCAGCAGCTTTCTTGTGCTTCGCGTTTGCTCCGGGAGGAGATGGAGGGGTCTTTCCAAGCTCCGGAGCGCCTGGCACCTGCGGGCCCCGGGAAGGGGCAGAGGCCGGGGCTGCGGCGCCCTGCGCACCCCGCGCCTGCTCCTCTCGTCCCCGTTGCACCCCCACCCCCTTCTCCTGCCCATTCCCTCCACAGCCTCCTCTTCTGACTCCAGACAGGGTTGGGGGCCACGCAGGGACTGCGGACAGTGTCCTGTGCGGACCTCAGCACCCGGCCTGCTCGCGTTGTTAGCGCCTCGCGCCACGGCGCCCCTCGCTTCCCAGGCATCCGTTCTCGCCTCAGGGAAACCCGACTTCGTGCCCCAGAGCCTGCCGGCCGGGGTAACAGAACACTGGTGTTTGATGGAGGGCAGGGCTGAGTCCGGGCCGCGGTCCTGTGCGCGGGCCTCCAACCCCTCAGGCAGGAGGGGCCGGATAAGGCCGCCGGGAGCCGTGGTGTCGAGCCAGAGCCGTGTCTGGAGTGGTGGCCCGGGCGGGAGGGCCGGGCAGAGATGGGGGCCCGGCGACCCCGCCCCGCCTCTGCCGTGGTGACCTGGGGGAGCTGTGTCTTGGAACCCGGAGCCCCTGACAAGGACAGAGCTGCTGGCAGTGATCCCCACAGAGCCCTCGGTGCCTGCCGGACCTGCCCCCTGACCCGCTCACCCCCCCCCCACTCCCCCCACCCCCGCTCTGGCCAGGCCAGCCTCCCGCTGAGGTCCCTCCCCCACCCTGCACTGTGACATCCGTCCGTCTGCTCATGTGGTCTCTGCGTTCCGCACAGCTTCCCCTGCTTTCCTCAGGAAACCAGACCCTGCGCGACCCCCGTGGCCCCGGAGCTGAGCCGCAGCCGCGCCAGCCAGCTTGTGGCTCTGGAAACTTGTAAATTAGTGCGGGGTGGGGGCGGGGGGTGGAGCCAGCTGTCACAAGCAGTGCAGTGTCATCATCACTGCACCTTCCAGAAAGTATGAATTAAACATGATCCACCCCGTTATGCGCTAAACAATAGCGGCAGTGACTAATCTCTGCTAACTCTCCACAGTACTTAGCAGAGCTTTTTATACACAGAAAGCTTTTGGATGCTTCCTCTCTGTTAAAAATAACTAATTCTCTTTGTCATGCACACCGACAGAAACTTCTGGCATTTCTCTCTCCCAGTGAAGAGTGTGTCCCTTGCTCCCTGTTGTGTGGCACCGAGTTTTATGTTCTCGGGGAAAGGAGTTAGAGTCTGTGTTTTGTGCCATGAAAATGAAAACACTTGGCGTGTGGCCCACGATTTTCTGCGTCTTTGGGCATTTTCTGCCAGCGAAGGGTGCTCTCTGTGCCCCGTTTCCACAAGGCCCAGCTGGAAGTGGCAAGCAGGGAGCACCGGGAGACGGAGCACACGGGCTCGTGCCTGAGCTCACCCGGCAGGCCCTGGGGCGGGTGCTCCCACAGGGCAGGTGGGCGCCATCCGCAGGGGCCCGGCCGAGCAGGGGGGTTGCCAGCAGAGCAGCAGCGGTGCAGACCCGTGCGTGGGAAGGGGTTTCCCCCGAACAGCCCCGCGCCCCGAGTCCATGTCCGCCCGCAGCCAGACATCCGTCGGAGCATCTGCAAACCTGTGCCCTGCGGCCCGAGCCCCAGTTCCGCAGCATCGCGTGTTGGGGTGGACGGTGTCAGGGTGCACGGCCCCGCCCCAGCCCCGCGGCTGACCGGGCTCAGCAGACAGCGCTGAAGCATAAGGCCGGCCCGTGAAGTCCGCGAGACATTTCCGGGGACCCCGGTGCAGAGCCGGCCCTGACCGGAGGGTCCGCACGCCCTTGCCTTCCAGCGCCGGAAAGGGGACGGCCCCTGTCCCTCAGGGGTGCGAGTGCCAGGAGCTGTACGCCTTTGCCAGGCCTTGAATCTCTGCCTCTGCCGCGCGTGGCATCCCGTCCCCTGCAGCCACACGGGCCCCTTGCCACTCCTCCGGGACCCCAGGCTCCAGCCTCTCCGGGTCTGTACTGGTGCAGCTGCCCCGAGCTCGCCCAGTCCTGGGGAGGACGGCTGCGCTCGGAGCTCAGCCTGGAGGCCCGGCCCGGCCCCCGCTGGCGGCCCCTGGACCAGAGGGCGATCTCCCGTGGCGTGGAACTAATCGCAGTGTGGGCCTCTGAGGAAGCAGCTTCATGGTGACCGCGCCCCTCAAGGGACAGGGCCTGTTGGCCACAATCTTGTCGCTCAGCGTCGGAGCCACAGCAGGACGTGCCGGGTCCCGCTCTGCCCCTCGTGCTGGTTTCCATGCGCGTGCACTGCACGCAGGCTTGATTCCTCCTCGGGGAACCGAACCGGCATTCGTGGGTGAACTGAAGCTAACCCCCCAGGGCGGGGCGCCCAGGGCAGCGTGGTGAGTGCCGGCGTGGGAACCCTGTACCTGGGAGGCTGCCACAGGCCGGTGTAGACCCTCCCAGAGGGAGACCCCTGTGGACAGGACACTCTGAACTTCAGGCACTGCAGATCCTGACTGGTGGGACCAGTGGCCGAAGCGTGTGGGCAGAGCGGCCACCACAGCCGACCCTCACCCGGCGCCCCCGCGCCATCCAGCCCTGAGTGGCCGGCGCCCTTGCACCCCCTGGCCAGCGTCACGGGGTTACTTGGCTTTATTGGTGCTTATTTTCTAAGATGAGCGTCCGATGTTTCTGAAAGCAGAGTCACTGTCTCTCGTTGCCGCGTCTGAGTCTGTGTGTCCCCTTCTGGGGGTGTAGCGCCCACAGGGCACTCAGACTCCGGCGTCAGAGCCTGGAGCCGCCTCCTGTCATCCCATGGTCCCACGGTCCCACAGTCGTGGGTGACAGGTGGCAGATCAGTGGACGGAATCTTAGCAGTCCAGCCTGCCGGCCGTGGGCAGCAGTGGGCGGGTTTCGAGTGCAGCCTGGGGTGCGTCTCACCCATCTGACCTGGTTCAGAGGCTGCACCTTACTTTTCTCTAGAAGTGGGGGGAAAATCTATAGTTCTATACGCTTGTCTGAAAAATGGTTTAAAAATTTTGCATTACGTGGCTTATTCTGTGTAAAGACCAGTTCAGCTTAGAACACATGTGGTCAGAGAAGGGCCTGACTCCCAGCATTAAAAAATGACTTTAGAGAAGCCTCTCCTGCCGCAAGAAGCTGCAGAGAACCCACCAGAACAGCGGTGCACGCGAAACAGTGAGCCGAGTCGAGCCATGTGGGGGATGGGGGGCGTCGGGTGGTATCCCCAGGGCCACGTGAACCGCACAGGCACATGGCATGCGCGTGCGCCATGCGCCCCATGTCAGCAGTGGAGAGGAAGGGACACGTAAGGCACAAGGCCTTCGTGAGGGTCTCCTGTGGGGGGAGGGGCCGGGGTGTGGGAAAGAGCCCCCCGGCCACCGGCCTTAAACTACTGGCTCCTGGCTCTGGCACGCGGTGCAGAGACGCCCTCAGACTGTCTGGAGGCCGCTCTCCCGGACTTCTCCGTGATGGCCACGTTTGTCTAGAAGCACACGAAAGGGGAGAGTGTGAGCTGACGCCCCGAATTCTGCATGTGGAGTCCGTCCCGTCCTCATGAATCTGTTTCCAAAGCAAACAGCCCCTTCCTGTGAGGCAACGGCGCGGGCGCCGTGAGCCCCAGCGCGGCCTGCAGAGCGTCCCTTTCCCCTCGCTTCCTGCCTGCCAGCTTCCGAGGGCTGCGGGCCTTCCTGTTGAAGTGACCGTCAAGCACATGCAGGTGGCGTAAGGGGAGACCGTGGAGCCAAATCCTGAGCCTTCACATAGCACACCCGCCCCATGGCCTGCCTGTGACTTAGGTGCGATGACGGCTTCCGGGGAGAGTTCCTGGAGCCAAGCATGCAGCCCATGTCAGGGCGCGGCCGCAGTGGGCACCCCAGCACCTGGGAGCAGCGGACTGACAGGATCCACGGGCCCCTCCCTGGAGGGGGGTTCTGGGAAAGGGACCACTGAAGGTGCGATGTGTCTGGTCGCGTGTCCACGGCCCTGCAGCTCCCGCGTGGCGCCCGGCATGCCAGTGCAGAGCACAGAGGGCGTGCACGTGAGCAAGAAACACGAATGTGGTTGGGGTGCAGACCAGCGTTGGGGAAGCAGGAGCCAAACACGGGCGCGGTGTCCGGACCAGGCCAGGCCTGTTCTTCGTGAAAGACAGAAAGTCATGTATTCCTGCGAGAGGAGCCCTGAGCCTACGAACAGCAGAGCCCCCCCAGCTCACGACTGCCGAGATTCAGGGGCACGGGGTGCACAGTGTGTGCGTCAGTTTTGCTGTCACATAAGAAAAAGATGCTGATTTCCAGAAACTGAGAGAGGAAGCCAGAGCCACAGAGCCCAGGAGGTTCCGCCGTGATTCTGCTCCCAGGGTTGTCCCGCAGGGGTGTGGGAGGCTTCGCGTCAGGGGGGGCCAGGCCGGAGCGGGCTGGCGAAGGTTGGCATCCAGCGGTCCGGCCGTGTGTGCAGGGACCTTGCGCTCTGCGCAGTGCCGAGGGCCGGAGCACACGCCTGCGAGCTCGGGCCTGATGGTCAGCCGCCTGCAGGACGTGAGGAGCCGCCAGAGGGGTTCCCGAGGAGAGCCCGGTGCCGTCCCAAAGGTGCTCAGCCCGACAGTGGCCTCTGCGAGTCGGTTGCCCATCTGTCCGTCTGTCCTTGAGCTGCCCCATTTCACGGTGGGATCATGCTGTGCGGAAAACTGTTAGTCTAAAAAAGCTGCAGGTGACCCAAATGACAGACGAGGTGGCTGGACTGAGACTCCGCAGACGTGGAGACAAACAGCCACTTAGGACCAAAGCTAATCAACCGTAAACCAGGAGACACATCAAACGCTACGAAGTCACAGACGCTTGAGGTGGAGGAGGAGCCTTACACCACGGTAGATTTGTCACCACCGGACCCAAAGCCAGATTGTAAGGGAGGTGGGACGGCCTGGCCTGTGGGCCCCATGCTGGGACGTCACCGAAGGACTGCAGTTTTCCTCAGTCCCCGGGCGTCCCCAACACAGTGGGCTCGGCCCGGGACAGCCCTCCGGGGCGCTTGCTGCAGCGTGGGGGGACTTCTAGGTCTCTGAAGGGGTGGCAGGTGCCGCGCGTGCTCTCCAGTGAGCAGTGGGGGTGAGGGAGGGAGTGTGGAGGAGGGAACGGATGAGCAGCCTGGTCCTCAGGTCCCCCACCGCGCTGCCAGCTAGGGGCTCTCGGGACGGAGCCCTCACACCCCTGGGAGGCCAGCCCCGTGGGACGCCGACACCAGCCTGGATGTGCGCCTGCAGCCACGGTGCTCTGAGACCACTTGGGCGGTGGGCAGGGAGTTGCCCCTGAAAGGTGCGACTTGACCGAGGAACAGAGCCCTGAATGGCCCCACCTGAGAGCATCAGCCTGGGGACAGATGTGCTTAGTCCCGCACGGCAGCTGGAGCCCGGGGCCGCTGGCGCCTGACAAGCCGCAGGTGGGGTCACACTGAAGAGAGTTTGGAGCGACCCGTTCTGGCAGGGGGGAGGCTCCCCTCCCTGGTGGTGGCTGCTCCGGCACAGGCCCCGGCTCCGTGGGGGCCCTCGGCAGACCCGGTAGCGCTGGCAACGCTGCCACGCGACACCCCCAGCAGACACGCAGCTGGGGGATCCCAACGGTCGCGGGGCAGGCGCGGCTGCGTGAGAGCACGGGCTGAGGGGGCTCGTCGCACCTCAACGCCCGGGGAAGAGCCCTGGTGCACTCAGGACCCTCCAGAGCCAAGGAGCCTCACCCCAACGTGCCCGCCAGGCAGGCCTCCTGCCGAGCCCCCTCGGCTGTCTGGTGTCACCTGGGTGTCTGAGGCAGGTCTGGCGGTGCCTGCCGGTGGTGATGACACAGGATGACGGGCGCTCCGTGTGCACGAGCAGTGAGAGCAGAGAAGGCGCACGCGGACAAGCGAGGGAAGAAAGGACGGGAGGGCCTGCAGGGCCGGCCGCCAGGAGCCTGTACGGGCGCGTGGCTGTGGCAGGGGGCCACCCATGCCAGTTCTTTGCCCTGGGACAGGGTCCCCCAGGCCGCTGCAGCCCTGACGGGAGCCAACGTCACAGGGAGAACGTGGAGGCCACGTAGAGCCATTCAGCTTGTGGGTGGAGGTGGAATAATGGACAGAAAGGATTGTTTCTAGCTCTAAAGTACATTAGAATTCCACGTGGAAGGTTCTGTAAGGAGGCGGGAGCCCATTGCATGGTAGCGGGAGCAGGCGTGCGGGGCAGAGTGGCGGGCGGGCATCACGCCCCTGCGGGCTCCAGCTTGCCCGGGCACCCCGCGGACTCGCCCGCGCCGCTTCTCCCCTCTGCCACCCTCTGGGCGCAGCGCTGGGGCCTGGAGGCCGCTTGCATCACAGGTACCAGCAGGCACTTCCCCTCCTGGGACAGGATATCCCGGCGCCCAGCAGACCGGAGCACAGGAAAAAACCTAACTCTAAAATTAGCAGCGCGGTGGCAGAAAGGCACACGGCCGCGTTCTGTACTGTTTGTCAATGAAACAAGTCTAAACACGGCCAAGTGCATTTCCTTTGTGGGCAAAACAGACCCGTGGGGGCGAGGGCAGGGAGCCACCGGGAGACGCCTGCAGAGACGGGAGGGGCCCCCAGCGCCCCTCGGCGCTCCCGGCTCTTCCCAGCGGCCTCCGCCTGCGTGATGGTCTGTGCGCGGCGGCCACGCGTTCCGGGGACGCCCGGGAGAGCGCGGCCGCCCCACGGGCAGGACAGGCCACCGGGTGTGCCTCACGGGGCCCCCGGGCTGTCTTTTCAAAGATATAGTATCTGGGAACAGCACTATCTTGTTCTGAAATAAGGGTTTGCAGGAAGTGAAATGTCAGATCCCAACCCGCCGTCTCTCTCCCAGTGATTCTAAATAAAAGGAGCCGCGGCCCATTGTGCTGCCGCAGGGTATTTCCAGGGTCACGATCTGCTCCTTTCCTTGCTGCGGTGCCGCTCAAGGTCTGCCCCTAGTCGTCCGCTTCCTTCTGGAAGGGATGGAATGTCAGATAAGCTCCGTGCTATAGGGCTGGGCCATCTCCGTGAGGTCTAGGACCCCAGTTCTGCCGTGTGGCGCTAAGGTCAGCAGAGGGCAGAGGGGTCGTTTTCTGAACGGTCACTGTCCTTCGGAGTGTCCGTGTTTCTACCCACAGCCGTGGATGAGGGAGAGGCCGAGGTCCAGGCATCCCAGCTCACCCGCCTCCTTAACTCCCCTTAATTCTGCCCGCTGGGGGCAGACGGAGCGGCCGGTGGGCTGGCAGGTTGCCCCGACCCCCCCAGATCGCAGGTGACAGAGCCCAGGTGCATGTCCAGCCCCCTCGGCCTCGAAGCCACGCTCCTGGAAACCGCGTGCCCAGCCCTCGGGGCTCCCAGGTCCTGCCTACGACAGGGCCGTGGGGAAGCGACTGGCCCAGGACCACCCGCCTTCTATTAAAAGGCGCAGGAAGGCCTGTTTCCAGTTCCTGATTCCCGGGTCACTGTGCAGCGTGTGAGTTCCTGCCAGTCTGTCAGCCTCTCTCTCCAGAAAGATAAGGGCCGGAGGCCATTATTCCCGGAATGATTCACTTCAGACTTCCTGCCGTTTCTTTCCCTGGGTCTGTTGGAACCGTACCTTCACCTCTGGGGCCGCTGCCGTCCTCTGCCCGCAGGAGAGGCGAGCGGGCCGACTGCTAACGTCCCCACACCCTGGCCACCCCACCCCCGCCTGGGACCGCCATCAGGCAGCGGGGAACCTGAACTGCCCCCAGATTTCCGTGATCGGGAAAACTGAGCCGGCGGCCGGAGCAGTGGCCGAGGGGAAAGTAGCAGAGAAGGCCCTCCACTCACTGGGGTCACCTGGACAGCTCCCGAGGCTACCCGTGCGGAACCTCCCGGAACTGTCATGTTCCTCGTTTACGACGCCACCACCCCTCTTGGCCTTTCAGGACCACGGGTGCATCCACACCCTCCCTTCCTTGTTGCCCCAAGGCCTCACCACTCTGGGGCCCCCAGCCCGCTCCCGTGGCAGCACGGGCCGTGGGAGTGGGGGCCAGGACACAACACGTGCGCTCGGGCGCTGGTATGCTCTGCACTTTTCGCCGCCTGTGAGGACGGGCCTGTAGCCGAGCTGGGCTGGAGCCACGCGCCTGCCCAGACCCCCCCTGTTGGCGCATGGTTAGCAGGGAAGGTGCGTGCGCAGGTGGGGGCTCTCCCCCTGCCCGTGCCAAGCTGCTGCGCCATTGCACCAGGACCTTGAGCCCAGACCACCAGCTGTGCCAGCTGCAGACGGCAGAGCACGTCTCTCTGGAGTGCCAGTGGCTGGTGCCAAAACGGAGAAAGGCAAGAGCCCAGGGGTGGACGGAAGTATGCGGCCGGATGCTCGCGTGTCCTCGCTTCCCCGTGTGTCTCGGTCTCGCCTCCGCCCCACCGACGGCCGGAGGGTGACCCACAGGGGCGCGGGGGCCAAGGGTGCGGTCACCTCACCTGCCCGAGGCCCGGGGCTACTTACTTGCCAGCTGGAACGCAGCGGCCATGGCCTCCTCCCAGCACTGCGACTCGGGCGACATCAGGGGCAGGCCCGCCAGCCCCAGGACGAAGGTGAGCTGGCCCGCAGCCAGCGCTGCCGTGGCCACCAGGTTGCAAGCGCGCATCATGTCAAACTGCACTGTGAGAACGACAGGGGAGGGACAGGTGGTCAGCTGGAGCCCCGCGGCCTCTCTCCCCGGCTCCTCGCTCTCCGCTCCCGGCCCAGGACCCGGTGCACGGGGGGTGTGCCACAGGCAGGGCCAGGGCTGCGCTGCTGCCCCGAGAGGCCCATGGAGAGAGACTTCAGGCGTGCTGGGCAGCAGAGCGCCAGCCTGCGGGGAGCGCGGCCAGAGACCGGGGGACCGGCCCCACCGGGCCTCAGCCTGCGGTGGTGTCTGTGACTCGCCCACACGTGGGCAGGCAGCCTTCAGATCTAGCACCCCAGGAGCCCAGGGTGAAGGGAGACCACGCCACTTCCTGCCCCCAGGCTGGCCACTCCTGCCCACTGTGTGTCAGCCACTTCCTCCTCGCCGCTGTCCCAGGCAGGGCTGCAGCAGGCAGGGCGGCCCTGTGGCCAGAGAAGCTTCTGGAAGGAGAGGAGGAGGGAGGGGCCGCTAGAGGAGGACAGCCCCCAGGCTGAACACCTTCTGGAGGCGGTCTAGGCCTCTGCCCTGGCTTGCTGTGTAGATGAGCTGTGTAGACCGTGAGCATGGCCAGCTCTGCTCTCCCACACGGATGGCGCTGTCCTGCCCTGTGGGCTGCACTGCCGCGGGCTGATGCTCACACTCCGTGCTTTGCAGGGTCGCCACGGAAACATCCCTGCGGTTGTCAGAAGGCCTGCGCCCCTCTGACCCAGTAAACAGCAGGGGTGCCGGAGGCGAGCAGGTACTCCTGGTGCAGGGGGAGGCACCAGCACCCGCATTTCCTCACCTCCCGCTCAGCTGCAAGCCAGGTTTCAGGCCTATTTTCCCGAACCTTCCTGGCTGCCCACACGGTCTTCGTGGCACAACCCAAGTCACAGCCAGCCCGACCAGCGGGCACACGTGCATGCAGGAGACAAGGCGGGCCCTGCTGTGCGGACAGAACGGCCTCCCTGTCCGTGGAGACCCTGCCCTTCACACGCTCTCTCCGGCGTCTTCACACTCTGTTTTCTTTGCCTTACTTGTGCCGACATGTGACTGCACAGACGTCCTTCTACGGTAAAAGGTGGCCGAGTTTGGGGGTGACCTCAGAGATGAGGGGCAGTAAACACATGGGGCACTAAGCACAGGACGGGGCGCCGGGTTCACAGCCAGACCCAGGGGAGGTAAGGCTGGAGGTGGACAGAGGAGGGTGCCCTCCCGCTCGCCGTCCCCGCAGCTCTCTGTCCTTCCCAGCACTCTGAGTGCACTGCCCAAGCCGTAGCCCCGGGCTGCGGCCCCCTGTGCCCTCCCCACCCCACCAGCCTCTGCCCCGTGGGCGTGAGGGTGTAGGCGGGTAAAGGGTGAAGCGCTGACTGCCTGAGCCCACCCCCACCCCTGACCACCAGCAGGGGACCTGCCGGGGAGGCGTCCGCCGTGCCCGGGGTCCATGACTGACGGAGCCTACTGCGTGCATAGCCTGGGCAGCGGCGCCCAGCAGGAGCGTGGCGGGAGGGCCTGAGGCCAGGCAGTGTGATGCACACAGTTGCACCCCGGGCGCCAGACAGGTTTACCCATGCCGCGCCTCACTTCGGAAAAGGACGTTAGGGCGCCCGACAGAATGCCTGGCACGCGGAGCTGTGACACACGCCCAGAGAGCAAGGCTTCCCGGGACTCAGGCTGTGAGGTCTCCGTGGGAGCCAGGGGAGGACCTCGGGGACACTGCATCCGCACACCGCCTCGCAGGGACAAAAGCTGCCTGAGCAGGGGTCTTGGAGGACAGGACCCCATGTGCATGGGGGGCCGGCCGCGGAGCCCCTGACCCAGCGCCCTCAGGACGCCCTGCGCGGGGCCCCCTGACAGAACATCATGGTGGGCGGCCCTCGCCCTGTTTGCTCCGTGAGTACAGACGGGCTCTGACCGGGCAGTGCAGGGCATTGCCGGGGTCCCTGGAGCAGAGCGGGCAAGCGTGTCCTCCATCCCCTCACCATCTGCCTCGATGTCTGGAGTCTCTCGGGCCTGAGATGGGAACTCAGAACGGATCGAGTCCAGCCTGCGGCCACACACACTGGCCCACTGGGGACCAAGACGACCCCAGAGCCTGCAGGTATCTGACGGAGCGCCACTGCTCCCTCCGGCCCCATCCCGCCACCCAGCGGAGCCGGACGCCGGGTGCTGGTGTGGCATGGGGCGGCAGGTGCGGGCCGGGAGACGAGGTGCCGGAGCGCCCACGCGGGAGCACAGGGGCAGCACACATCCGCCCGGCTCGCGCCCCGGAGCCCGCGAGAAGCACGTCAGCAGCTCCGTCTCCCTGACAGGAAGCTTCCGCGGCATTTCCCTCGTTTGTGGCGCGTGTTTGACACTCAGACTGATTAAGGATCAGCTGCCAGAGACGCCGTGCCCGTGGGAGGATGTCGTAGAAGTTGCACGAGGGGCTGCTCGGGTGGCCGGGGACACAGGTGGCCGGCCCGGTGGGAAGGGGGTCTGGAGGCAGAGCACGTCCCCGCCCGTATAGCCTCCTAGCCTCGGCCCGGGGTCAGAGGGCCTGGACGCCTGGGGAGGGGCTGGGCTGAGTCTCGGGGCCAAGGGTGCTGTGTGGGGCAGCACAGCCTCAGGACCCAGGACGCCTGCTCTCCACCAGCCAGTCTCCCGGGACCCAAGTTCAGCTGCACCGAGTTTGGAGAGCTTGTGGAAGAGTCTGAACTTCCTGCTTGTGACCGAGGGGGAGGGGCTGACAGGCTCACCCCCTCCCCAACAGAAGACCCCCAGACCCAGAGGAAGGGGCTGTGAGTGCAGGACTGCATGGGGACCTTGGCCGAGCACATGCCTCCTGCAGCCTCCGTCTGGTGGCCCGTGGAATGGGCCCCACCCCACCCCCGCCCCCAGTGGGTCAGGGCTCCAAGCACATGGCGGCTGGAGACAGTCACGGCGCCAGCCTGTACGACTCGAGGACTCAGGACGGCCTCTGAGAGCAGCTAGCAACCCTGGCGACGCCACACATGCTCCGAAGGGCGAGCCCGAGCTCGGTATCCTGCCCATCTGTGAGTTAGACCGAGACCTCTGCCCGTCAGCCACTGTGGCCACGTAGGTGACACGTTAGGTGACGAGTGTCTTACACTTGTGAGCCCTTTACTCCCCTGCACTCAAACCTGACCCCATGGTCAAAGTCCTGTTCCCATCTTCCAGAGCGGGAAGGGCCAGGACAAGCCCATGCTCCGGAGCCGCTGCCCTGAGCCCCTTCCCTGCCTCCAGGCTGGTCTCCAGCAGCCCTGTCTGCCCTTTGACCCCTGACGCTGCCTGAACGGCTCTCTCAGGCCACGGAGCGAAGTCAGAACTCAGCCATGTGTTGTTTGAGCTCCTTGTTTATTTCACTCACTGACAATTTCTATTTCCCACCAAGGAAAGCGTATTTTCCTTGGTTTGGTGAATGTACCTGCCCTGTAGCTACACGTGAAGGTGGAGAAAAGCCCCATGCCCACACAAGAATTCCGTCCTAAAGGAGACAGAGGCAGGTCAGGGCTCAGCGGAACTGGGGCTGGGGCTCCCCTGGAGGGTCCCAGGCCGAGCTGGGGGCTTGCCCGGGCTCCCCATCACCAGACGCGCCCCTTGCCCACGGCGTGCCCGACCGTTCTAAAGGAGGCGGAGAAGTAGCAGACTTACGCTTGACGGTGCCTCGAGCCTCCTGGAAGCCTGCCGCCTCGGAGCCCCAGCCCAGGGCTTCACAGTCCCCTGCATCCGCCGGCCCCGGCCGGGCCCCGGCGCTCGGCCCTCCCCGGGGCCTGTCTGCCAGCCAGCAGGATGCCCACAGCCCCACGCTCCGCCTGCGCCCATCCTCCAGCGTCTGGTGCACCCAGCTGGGGGTGAAGGCCGCCGCGTTGTTGAGGACGAGAGAGACCAGGGCCACCAGCACCGCCGTGGCCACCAGCTTCTGAACGGTCATCGCCGACTGCCAGTGCCGTCCGCTTGTCGGGAGAAAGTCCCAGCCCCGGGCACCGCTGTGGCCAGGGAGAGCCGAGACCAGCTAGGGGCTGCTAGAGGACATCGCCGCTCATTCTCGGAGGCATCGGGAAGGCCCACGTGACAGGTGCAGGTGAGCCCACCTGGGCCCGTCCTTACCCTGCCTCCTGCACCTGGAGCAGGACCAGGCGCCAGCTGCGGCCGGCCTCTCGGCCCATCCCGGGGAGGCACCCGGGGCGCCCGCGACAGCCCAGGGCCGTGCGTGCGCCGTCTTCCTGAGAGGCCAGGCCTCTTCTCCCCGCGAGCAGCTGTAGGGGCGGCCGGCGACGTGGGGTATGTCCCGCCTCACTGCCGAGAACCGGCTCCTCAGAGCGAAGCCAGCAGCCGGGCTCCGAGCGGGGCCTCCGGCTTCCTGAGCCCCTGCCCTGTTTCTCCGCCGTGAGACGGCCTGTCCTGGAAAGCAGAGGGCCCGCCGCGGGGAAGCGCGTGTGCCTGTGTGTCTGCGTGTGTGCAGGCGCGCGTGTGTGTCCCCCCCGCGGCAGAGAGGAAATGGTTGTTTTTGAGGCTGTTTTTTGTGAGCTGGATGGAGGGCGTAGCCAACTGCAACAAAGAGCGGCCAGGCCCCCGCGGCCAGACGCTGACAGGACACGCTTCCTGACGGGAGAGCAGGGGGGCCTCTGGAGTCCTGCTCCGGGGCCCCCTCCCCCCTCCCGGCACAGGCCCACAGCCCCACCTGGCTGGCCCGGGCTCCGCCGGCCTGGCACTCAGGTACCCGGAGCAGCCGCGGGGGCACGTGCACCCACAGCGCGCGTCCGTGCTGGGCCTGGCACAGCTGCACCCAGCGCGGGGCCAGTGCCCCGCCTTGGGGACTTGGGGGCTGTTCCCACCAGCCCAGGGGCCCCTGCCCTTATCACGGGGTTCACGGACGGTAGAGGACAAGGCCAGGCATGGTGGAGAGCCCTCCTCAGACAGGCCTTTGCCTGGGCCAGGGCCACAGCTGCAGAGCTGCCCGGCCAGGGCGCCGTCCTGGAGGTGCAGGGTCCCACGGCGGGGACAGAGGGCGCCGGGCACGTCCCTGACGAGGGAGCTGCAAGCCCTCTGCGCGTGCACACAGTCAGGAGAGGCTGTGCCACCCTCTGGGCCCGGGGGCGGCGGTGCACAGACAGGCACCCGCACACCCTTCTAGGAGCACAGGTGCCCCGGGCGTCGTGTGGTGCAAGCCTCGGGCCCCTCGGGCTGCTGTCTTCACTAGCTGCCCAGCCAGCACCAGGCGCCTTCGTTACAGGAGAGGGGGCCACACAGCTGCCCGGGTCACGGAGGTGGCGAGAGGGGCCCGGCAACCTGGAGAGCCGTGTGGGACTGGCTTGTCCCCTCGGCTCGTCCACATCGGTGCCTGGGACGTCGGCACCCCGCTCGCCTCCCGCTTCTGGAGCTCCGGAGGGTTCTAGCGACTGACACCGAGCAGGCCCCGCTACACAGTTCATTAAACGGCAAGTGGTAATCGTCAGATTAGTAACGGTCATCTTCAAGAGGCGTTAGCACTGGCCGTGCCGGTTCTCAAGGACGGCCAGCAGCCTCGAGGCACAGACGCTCCCCATGTAGCCCATCGTGTAAATCAGACTCAGTTTCCCACCAGCGTTGGTGCAAGCAGCCTGGGGCCAGACCTGGGTCCGGGGCCACATGCGCGGTGGCAACGTGGCGAGTGCTGAGGCTGCGCTGGTCGTACCATCAGAGCAGCGGGAACCGCCACGGCCCCCAGAATTTGCGTCCCTCTCTTGTAAGGGCCTGTGCGTGCTGCAGCCGGGAGCCCCACCCGCCAAGCCTCTGCCCCTGAAAGGCAGCGGGGAGGGGGGTCCTTGGAGAATCGGGGTCTCCGACAGCGTCTACGTGTTGGGTCCCTGATGGGCTTTGCCCGCTGGCGTCAGCACGTGTCCCCGAGGCCAATGTGCCGGCAGCTCCTCCCCACCAGCCTTCTTTCCTCGGCCTGTATGCTCTCCCGTCTCTGCTCCAGCCTCCCGGGGGCCGCGGGGGGACGGGCACCTAGTCCTCTGCACACGGCCCCCTTCTCCAAGGGCACCAGCATGTGAATCAGAGTCCCTGAGCACACGGTACAGGGGTCGCCTGGACAAGGCGGCTCTGCCCCCGAGGGGTCAGCCCCCCTATTTATTTAAATCACTTCTCCCCGGGTGGTCTTTGGTTCCTGTCTGCCAGGTGAGGCAGGGGGGCCCAGGCCACTCCCCGGCTCCTCCAGCAGCCCGGCAGCCATCCGGCCCGGCCCGCAGAGGACCCCCTGTCATCCACCCATGTGACCGCGAGGCCCACCCCGGGTGCCCAAACCCCCAAGGGCCTCCCTGTCCCCCAGAGCTGCGTGCGGCAGGCACTGTGTTGGGAGCTAGGAGTGAAGAAGCTGGGGCCGCTGGCCGCACCGGGAGGCCGTGACCCCCACAAGCCTGAGGGGCAGGCCCGAGGAGAGGGGCCTCCGGGGCCGCTTCCGGTGGCTCTTCCCAAAAGGGGGGGGGGGCGTCTCCAGGCCAGGCCCCTCGGCAGGCAGCCCGTGCGCCCTGGCGTCAGCGCCTCTCATGTTGATGAAGTACAGATGTGTGTCGTGGCTGGACGGCAGGAAGCGCGCCGGGCTGGCGGCCATCCAAAGGCTGGGGCCCCAGGCCTGCGTGCGGGCCCACGGCCTCGGCCCAGGGGCAGGGCTCGGGCTGTTCTTCCAGCTCACGCTTGTCCCCTGTGTGCACGCACGACCCGCCAGACCCCTTTAGCCTAGGGACACACAAGGAAACCGAGTCGGCGAAGAGCTGGGATGGGCTCCAGGTTCCTTTGCTTGTTGGGGTTGTGTACTTTGTGGTACACAGATAGCAGCCATCCATGTTCAAAACTCAGCAGAGGTGGGGACACACAGGGCCCCGGGCCCAGGTCCCGCCCCCACGCGGGTCTTCGCTCAGGCAGGGAGTGCGTGAAAAAAGCCTCCTACGTGGAACGCGTCTGGAAGGGAGGGGCCTGTTCCAGCCAGCGCCTCGCCGCAGCCCTGGCTCATCCGCCTGGCGCAGGAAGGGTGCCGACTTTGCATGAGTTCCGCGAGTAGGCAGAGGGCTCCTGGGCTCTGACTGGGACCACCAGGCTCTGTGGTCGCCGCGGCCCTCCGGGAACCCGGGCCACGTGCCCCGCCTGAGCAGAAGCCTGTGGCCAGGAAGGAGTTGAGGGTGGAGCCAGCCCCTTGGGGAAGGAGGCTGGTGCCTCGTAACAGGCCCTTGGGGCTGGGGGGACCCCAGTGCGGGGTCACAGGGGAGGGTGGTGCACACGGCCCCTCTAACCGGCCATTGTCGGTAAACCCACCCGTCACCCCTCAGCGGCCCCGACCAGCACGAGACAGCAAAGCTGTAGCAGGCTCTGCAAGCTCCCTGCTCACAGGGAAGGGCGCCTGCACATGCAGCCTCTGGACCAGAGATGCGGCCACGAGTGCGTCCCTGTCCCCGAGGACAGACGCCTCCGCTGGCGGCTTCCCAGCTGACAGAGGCTCTGCCCTGACACCGTGGCCCCTCCTCCTCCCCTCGGCACTCCCGCTGTCACAAGGCCGTGGGAAGATGCACTGGGCACACACCCTGGCCTGGGCCCCCCCACGCCCAGCTGCCCCCTCCTTGCCCGTGCTGTGCACACAATCTGAGCATAGGGTCCGCGGCGCCAGGACCCCTCAATTTTGTGGAGTGTGGTTTCCCAAGGCGGGGGCCTACCTCAAGGCAGAAGTTTCTAGCCTCACAGGAAACTGCGATCTTCAAGGAGGGCAGGATCCCCTGGTCAGTGTAGGTCATCGTTGGCAGAAGAGAACTTACTGGAAGACTAACATGGGGGGAGGGACCCATGCCTCCGAATCCCCTCCCTGGGCCTGTGTGGAGTCACGGGGGCCTATGGGCGTGAGAACGAGGACGGGGTCCTGGGGACGTACCGGGACCCCCCTCCTTAGCCCAGGTCAGGGACCCACCAACCCCATGCTGGATGTCATGCACTGGTCCGCAGGGGCACCATGCTTGGGGCCCCACAGCCCCTTCCCCAGGCCCGCTGGGGCATGAAGTCTCTACGGCCCCTTCTCCCCGTGGGTCCCCTGCCGGAGGGCAGCACCAACGCTTCCTCGGCCCAGCTGAGAGCTCGGGCAGTGGGGTTCAGAGGAGCATTTGCACCATGGATGGCCATCAAGGCAGGGAGGAATATGGCCTGAGTACGTCCGTGGCCCTGTCGGCTGCAGGGGACACGCAGATGGCCTTCAGCCACGGGAGGAGTCGGGGCCCCCGTCTGCCGTGTGGCTGCGCTGGTGAAGCCCGTCCGGCACGCGTCTCTGTGGGGCCGGCGCTGTGAGGGCTCTGAGCTGACGGGGCTGCGTGTCCCCGGCACAGCGAGAAGGTCTGGGAGAACATGGCCCGCATGTGCGTGAAGACCCAGCGGCTGGACGTCGCCAAGGTGTGCCTGGGGAACATGGGCCACGCGCGTGGAGCCCGAGCGCTGCGCGAGGCCGAGCAGCAGCCGGAGCTGGAGGCCAGGGTGGCCATGCTGGCCATACAGCTGGGTATGCTGGTGAGTTGGGCACCGCCCCGGGGGGCAGGGGGGGCAGCGCCTGGTCCGCAGGGCGGCGCAGCGGGCAGGGTCTCCCTGCAGGCAGGGGCAGCCGCCAGCCGACCCGGCTGCTGCGCTCTCACCGCGGGCGCAGCGCCACACTGGCCTGCCCCCGGGGGACACGGGCAGGCCTCCCCGAGCCCGACGGCCCACACTCGCTCTGCTTCCTCCAGGAGGACGCCGAGCAGCTGTACAGGAAGTGCGGCCGCTACGACCTCCTCAACAAGCTGTACCAGGCGTCCGACCAGTGGCAGAAGGCCGTGGAGGTGGCGGAACTGCGGGACCGCATCCACCTGCGCACCACCTACTACAACTACGCGAGGCACCTGGAGGCCGGCGCCGACCGCGGCCTGGCCCTCAGCCAGTGAGTGGGGGCCGCGGTGAGGGCCGGGCTGGGCCCTTGGGCCCCTGCTTTCTCCTCCGCCACCTCAAGGCAGGTGGGAGCTTCTGGGTGGGTGGGCAGCTTGGGCTCAGTCCCGTCAGGAGAGCCTGAGGCCCCCGAGCGCCCCGCCTCAGGGTCTTCTGGCCTGGGGTCGCGGGCGGTGCTGAGACCCCCGGACGAGCTGCAGCCGCCCTCCCCCTGCAGCTACGAGAAGTCGGACACCCACCGCTTCGAGGTGCCCAGGATGCTCTCGGAGGACCCGCAGTCCCTGGAGCTCTACGTCAATAAGATGAAGGACAAGTAAGTATCACCGCTGGATGGTTGGTCGTGGCGCCCGGTGGCGGGGGGAGGGGAGTCCTGCCGCTGCCTGGGGGGGAGGGCACGAGGCGTCCACGCTCTCCTGCAGCGCTGCGCCCTGCTGGCTGCTGGTGGCGTGGAGCATGGTGAAGGTGGCACTGGGGCCCCGGGGCTCCTTTCCAGGGGGTGCGGGCCCTGAGCGGGGCTGTGGGCTCGCCCAGGACCCTGTGGCGGTGGTGGGCCCAGTACCTGGAGAGCCAGGCCGAGATGGACGCCGCGCTGCACTACTACGAGCTGGCGCAGGACTACTTCTCCCTGGTCCGCATCTACTGCTTCCAGGGCAACATCCAGAAGGTAGGCGCGTCGGGGCGCCTGGGGGGCTCAGGCAGTGAAGCCTCCAGCTTCGGCTCAGGTCATGATCTCACGGTTCATGGGTGTGAGCCCCGCGTCGGGCTCTGTGCTGACAGCTCAGCCTGGAGCTGCTTCGGATTCTGTGTCTCCCTCTCTCTCTGACCCTCCTCCACTCACGCTCTGTCTCTCAAAAACGAATAACATTTTTAAAATTTTTAAAAAGAAGGTAGGGGTGGGTGGCAGACCGGCCGGGTGTGGGGAGGTGTAGACACGGCCCCAGGGCTCCCTGCTCTCTTTCCAGGCGGCTGAGATTGCCAACGAGAGCGGGAACTGGGCCGCGTCCTATCACCTGGCCCGCCAGTACGAGAGCCAGGATGAGGTGAGGCAGGCCGTGCACTTTTACACGCGCGCGCAGGCCTTCAACAACGCCATCCGCCTGTGCAAGGTAGGCGGGCGGCACGCGTGTGAGAACCGGGCCAGTGGGAGGCTCGGTTCGGATCACTTCACACAGAGAGAAGGGGATTGACTGGCGAGGCCGTGCCTCCCACCCCAGCCCGCTGCCGCCTCACTCGGGGCCCCCATCCGCCACCGCAGCCTCCCTGGCGGGGTTCACGGAGCATGGCTCTGGAGTGAGCCCCCAGGCTGGCCGAGCCCGGGCCCTGTGAACAGCAGGAGGGACATCCTGGGGGGGCGACGGTGCCGCTGCCTGGCCCGGAGGCCCTCGCATCAGGCCCGCGGCGGCGCTGATGGGAGAAGGGAGCCCCCAGCCTTCTGTACGCAGACCCCGGGGAGACATCCCGACCCAGAAACCACGGTCACGTGGACCGGCAGCGGGCGCTAGCAGGGGCGCTGCGCCCCCCCCTCAGCTGAGTGTGCCCCGCCCCCCACAGGAGAATGGCCTGGACGACCAGCTCATGAACCTGGCCCTGCTGAGCTCCCCCGAGGACATGACGGAGGCGGCGCTCTACTACGAGGACAAGGGCGAGCACATGGACAGGGCAGTGACGCTCTACCACAAGGTGGGGCGCGGACGGGGCGGGGACACTGCCACGGGGGGGGCGCGGACGGGGCGGGGAC